TGTCCGACTCTTTGTGACCCCATGGACTGCAGCCCACCAGGCTCCTCTGTCCATGGGATTCTCTAGGCAAGAATACAGGAGTGGGTTGCCATTTCCTCCTCCAGGGGATCTTCTGGACCCAGGGATTGAATCCGAGTCTCCTGCATCTCCTGCTTTCACAGGCAAATTCTTTACCACTGAGCCACCTGGGAAGTCCCTCAAGGCAGATACTGACACAGTACTGAAGGAAAGTATTTAAAGAAAATATGTGATTAAAATTCATTTCACCCGTTTCTTTTTACGTCTACTTTTATTCTTTATTATTATTTTGGCTACTGGCAAATGGAAAATTACATACAAGGCTCGCATTCTTACTTCTGTTGGAGAGCACTGCTCTAGACTGATAAATACCTTCCCTGGTGGTTCAGACGGTAGAGCGTCTGCCTACAGTGCGGAAGACCCGGGTTCAATTCCTGGGTCAGGAAGATCTCCTGGAGAAGGGAATGGGAACCCACTCTAGTATTCTTGCCCCCCCCTCCCAGCCCACAAAAGGGGCTCAAAGAAATATTTTGTCCTACCTCCTTTCAAAGACAATGGGCTGCCTTTCTGGGTGCCTGGTGTCCTCTGCCAGCGTTCAGAAGTTGTTTTGTGGTATTTTCTCAGTGTTCAAATGATCTTTTGATTAATTTGTGGGGGAGAAAGTGGTCTCCCCCTCCTATTCCCCCACCATCTTAGGACCACCCCACCCCCGTTTAGGTCTTGATTGCCAGGTTTCTCCACTGTGCAGTTACTGTTTTTTTGCTTTCACTGCTCTGATTTTTCGAAGTAAGTCCCTAAGTATAGCCTACCCTCAAGGGTGTATGTGTGAGGGTGGTGGGCCAGAATTAAGCTCTACTTCTTGGATGGGGGAGTATCTACATGTCTTTTTTTTTTTAATTCTTCTGTGAGAAAAATTTGTTTCCCTCATTTATTTATATAATTTATTTCCATGAGTGTAGTTATATATATATATAGTATTATAATCTAATGTGGTATTATTTATTTTGTTGGATTTCCAGCTTTGGCCAATGGGGCTTTCAGCGTGTTCTGTGTCCCAGTGACATGCCCCTGTCCTTTTATTTTTTGAGCATTTTCATAGTTTTTGGTGCTCTATGATGTTCCAGGCTTATACTGAATTTTTCTTACCCGGTCAGAATATCAATAGTTTCTACATGGAGTCCTGGTTATTTTACTGGAGAATGATATTTGTAAATCAAGCTCTGGGCACTGAGTGTACTTGTTCACTTTCTTCATATTTGTTATTTTTCCAGCTTCCTTCTATTACTGATTTCTAGCTTCATTCCATTGTGGATGAATAGACTCAATATGCGTGGAAGTTGTTGAATCAGTTAAGAATTATAAACGAAAGTTTAGAAACACTGCCTTAAATAGTGGTGCAGTGGTTTTCATGATGTCATCCTGGACCAGATATTCTTTCTCTCTGGAATCTATTGTCAGCATATGCATGTTAGTGTACAGTAACAGTGAATGAACTCTTACTTCTAGGAGTCACAATGTGTTCCGGGCAGGAAGAAGAAAGGAATAAAGGTTGACCAAGTGCCTGTCAGCTCAGTCTGCCTGTTTTAAGATATACTCTTAGAAGCTTCGTCCAACAGTTTTCAATTATATGTAGTTGGCCAGAACCTTGTTACATGGCCACTCCTGTCTTTTAAAGGAGGCTGGAAGATGTAGCTTTTTGAGTAAGGGACATTTTTGCTCCAGGGAAGGCAATGGCACCCCACTCCAGTACGGTTGCCTGGAAAATCCCATAGATGAAGGAGCCTGGTGGTCTGCAGTCCATGGTGTCGCGAAGAGTCAGACACGACTGAGAGACTTAACTTTCACTTTTCACTTTCATGCATTGGAGAAGGAAATGGCAACCCACTCCAGTGTTCTTGCCTGGAGAATCCCAGGGACCGGGGAGCCTGGTGGGCTGCCGTCTATGGGGTCGCACAGGGTCGGACACGACAGATGCGACTTAGCAGCAGCAGCATTTTTGCTCCAAAAAATTGAGGTTCTTGAAACAATATGTATTTTGGGAAAGTAACTCTCAGTCTGTGTCACAGGGAACAAGAGACTAGTTAAGAGACTCTTGTTGGGAAGAGATGATGGTGACTTATGCTGCAGGGGTAGTAGGTGGTGGTAGCATATGATTGAATATTTAATATATTTTGAAGGCAGTAGCCACAGGACTCAGTGCTGGCTTATACATGAAATGGAGGAGGAGGAGAGAAAGATTGACGCAGGTTTCTGGTCTGACAGTTCAGTAGAGGTGGCACCATTACCTGAGATGAGGAAAAACAGAGAAAAGCCAAGGTTTTGTGGTTTTTTTGTTTTTTTTTTTTGTTTGTTTGTTTTTTTTGTTTTTTTTTTTTGAGGGAGGAGGGGAGCAGGGAGGTAATCTAGAATCCTATTAGGTATACATTAAATTTGACATGCCTATTATATAGCTAAGTGGAAATCAGTGCCCTTCTAAATATTTCTGAGGATACTATTTTGAATCTTTCCAAGGGTCTTTCTCCCCCTGCATTCCTCGGAAATAGCTCTATTTACTCTGGGGTTAGTTCTGTTTATTCTTATTGATCCTTCACTTACATATACTGATTTTCCTCACATATCTGATGAGTTTTGTTGGCTTGCTTTATATTTGTGAATGAAGGAGTATGTTGGCTGTATAGGCATGCTCTGTGTGACAGCAAGCTTCCCTGGAGGGTATTTGGGGAAATAAGCGTCAGATTTCATTTTCTTGGGCTCCAAAATCACTGCAGACAGTGACTGCAGTCACTAAAATACACTTGGTTCTTGGAAGAAATGCTATGACAAATCTAGACAATGTATTATAAAGCAGAGACATCACTTTGCCGACAAAGATCCATATAGTCAAAGCTATGGTTTTTCTAATAGTCACGTACAGATGTTGAGAGTTGGACCATAAAGAAAGCTGAGAGCCAGAGAATTGATGTTTTCGAGCTGTGGTGCTGGAGAGAAGACTCTTGTGAGTCCCTTGGACAACATGGAGATCAAACCAGTCAATCCTAAAGGAAATCAATCCTGAATATTCATTGGAAGGACTGGTGCTGAAGCTGAAATGCAAATACTTTGGCCACCTGATGTTAAGAACTGACTTACTAGAAAAGACCCTGATGCTGGGAAACATTGAAGGCAGGAGCAGAAGGTCATGACAGAGGATGAGATAGGTAGATGGTGTCACTGACTTAACATGAGTTTGAGCAACTCAGATAGTGAAGGACAGGGAATCCTGGGGTGCTGCAATTAATGGAGTCACAAAGAGTTGGACATTGACTTAGTGACTGAATAACAACTGTCCTGGATTTTTTAACTCACAAAAGTATTGGATGTTCACCTAATCAATAATACAGAGTTAAAAGTTAATAGTGTCCTCATCTTTCCTTTTGTCCAGAGTTTTCTCCCTTGAGAAAACAATGTTAACATTTTGTATCCTTTCATATATTTTCCATGCTTATATATTAGGGGGGAGTTTTTATTTGTTTTTTGTGTTTTTTTTTCCAAAATGAGATTTTTTTTTTCCTACTACTTATTCTTCCACTTCCTTGTCAGACATATTTCATTTACCTTTAATTTTTCTACTAAATTCACTTAAAGCAACAAACTTTCAAATGTTAGAATTTAAACTTTTTAAGGGAGATTTTGGAAAATTCAAAGAAAAAGAAAATGAGCAAAAGAACAGATGTGGAAAAGAATGAGATGTATTTGTAGAGTTCCGAGGTAGACACATTTTTCTGGAGGAGAGAAACTGTAGTAGGGAATTCTGAGATACTTGGAGAAATCATTTGGAGTCAGTGTCTGAGGGTAGTGAATAACATAACATGGGAAGCTGCTGAAGATGTAAGAATAAAGTCATGTTATTGACTGCTTAATATTAACAAACACTTAAACCAAAAGTATTTCTTATGAAAGTGTCATTCCTTGAATTATTTTAACTGACTTGATATATAATGAAGCATCTGTAGACTAAAGGAGGCAGTGTATAGAAAAGTGATTTATCATACTAAGTGTTCTGCAAAGAGATAGTATCATTTTCTCTAAATGAGCTGGAAGTGTACATGCATCTTATGATATTTTCAAAGCACCATTGTCTTTCACTGCAGTTTTCATTGTGTGGTAGTAGGCACATCAGATAAAAATTTAGAATGCCTAGGATTTAATCTGGTAATTAGGGCAATAACTTCAACTGCAGATTCTTGTGTAAAACAGAAAGTAGGTCTTGATTATCGCTAAAGTGTCTTCTGGGCTTCCCAGGCGGTGCTGTGGTTAAGAATCTGCCTGCCAGTGCAGGAGACGCAGAGATGTGGGTTCAGTCTCTGTGTTGGGAGGATCCCCTGGAGTAGGAAATGGCACCTACTCCAGTACTCTAGCCTGGAAAAGCCCACGGGCATGGGAGCCTGGCGGACTGCAGAGCAGGGGGCCGCAAAGAGCCGGACACGACTGGGTGCACACGCATACAAAGTGTCTTCCATCTCCAGAAATCAAGTGTTTCTGTAATTTTCCTGTACACCTTGATTTAGCATAAAGTGCTTCCTTAGGGAGTAGTTACCCATTTAACAATTACAGGTTGAGAGTCATTGAAATTGTTGTCTCAGTATAATATCAGATGCCACTTATTATCTAAAGCATTTCACAACCTTTTAAAACTAGATTACATTTGTTTTAACAGCTCTGTTTTCTGTTCTACTTTTGTTTCTGCTTAAAGTTGCTGAGCATTATTTTGGTTTTACAGATTCAATAGAGAGAGTGTTGTAGTGTCAGGGAAGTGAAGATTATTATATATGTCTGATATAAACTTCTTTTGATTATTAGCAAATTACAGTAGTTATGAGGAAAATATTTCTTTAGTTTTTAAAATGCTTAATATCTTTAATAACTATTGAATGAGTAAAATTATCTTGGGAAATATTCTTTCATTACAAGCAGTCTAAAATTAAAGCTTCTCTTTTTAAAAGGTGGTTTTCTCACCAAAAGAATACATTTCACCGTGTTTCAAACCAGAATATACAGAATTCAAACCAGCATATCAGGTGAGTCCTGAGTTTTCTTATCCCAATAGCAATTATACTTAATAATAGGTTTCTCTAATACTTTGTGTAATTCAGTGGTTCCAAAACCAGACTACCCATTGGAAACACTCAGCTATCTTTACAAAAATACACATTCCCAGGTCCCACCTCTGACCTAATAAATCTCAGTTTGGAAATGGAGCCTGGAATTTTTATTTTTCAAAAAAAAAACAGGGATTCTGATGCTGTCGCCTGGGTATCAATTAACATTTGAAAACCATATGAACTAAAACAAATACTAGGTTGATTATTTCACATTTTGCCTTTTAAATTGAATAATGGAGAAATTGTATGAACAAAGAGTTTGCATAAGAGACTTCATTTTGAAAGGCTATTTCAATAATAGAATAGCCTGATCTCAGAGCTACAAAATTGCCTGTGACTATTACCCTGACATTTCACTGTACTTTGGAACTTTCTGTACTGTTTTCTATAGTTTCTGAGGCATATATATTTATCCAACAGCAAGATTCTACTGTAACATGCTAAGGACATCATTGTTTAAATTCTCAAATGATCTGTGCTCCCAAATCAATCTTTAGAGAATACTTATGATACTTTTAATGGAGTATCTATTACTTGCTTTGCATTTTAAAAAAGCCACCCCCATTGCGACTAAAATATTTATATGGATAGGACTTAGATCATGATGTTAGCTTCTGTCTAAGCAAATTCAGCTAATACTGGAAATGGAATTCTTAAAGAAAAACTATTAATGAGTGCCTTTTAAGTGTTCAAAATCTTTCAGGTAGCAAAAAGCTCTTGAACACAACATAGTATAAGAATTACGAATTTGAAAAATTTGCATTATGATTCTCATTATTATTCCAACTTTAAATATTTTAAAAGAATTAAAATTGGTTTTCTCTTGGTAAAAAAAAAAAAAATTTTTTTCTCTTGAATAAATTTGAAGATTGCTCAAAGAAAATTAAGTAGAAATTTTATTAAAAATTTCAAATGTTTCAGAATTTCTTACCTTTTTTTAAATATTATAATTCCAGAAATTCAACATCAAGAATGGTTTTGATCCTTTTCTAAGGAATATAAACAACAAAATGCCAGTTCAAAAAAGGAAAGACCAAGATATGCTCAAATGTAGAGATATTTTAAGTGCAGAGATTATAGAGCATGAAGATCAAGATCCTCCTTACCCAACACATTCAAAAACTGCAAGACCTGCTAATAAAACCTGGCCCCATAATCTTGATATCATTTCAGTAAAGGCTTTAGACACTAAGAATAAGTTAGCTGGTGATCCCAGTATCACCACAGGAAAGACTTCAGACCCTGAGAATAATGTGGCCCATGATCCAGGTGTCATCACAATAAAGACTCTAGACACTACGAATAATTTAGCTCATCATCCTAGTATCACCAAAATAAAGACTTTAGACACTAAGAATATATTACAGGAAAGACTACCACATGTTTCTTTACCAAACTTTGAGGGAGACTCATCAGTGACTGAAAAAGTAAATGTACATAAATGTCACCTCTCCAAATCATTAAGTCTTACTTCCCACATAGAAAATTTAAAACAATCAATGGTGCTCAAGTCAATTTTAAGTAAAAATCTGCAAGACCTTTCAGATAGATTATTTTCTACACCAGGAGTTCCTATGGACCCTGCAGCAAGAAAGAAAAGTTACAGTTCTCCACTTCTAACGGTTATCCAAGATGAACAACCAAGTAGTTTGGAAGATAAAGTATTTGAAAAAATTCAAGATTTAAGTAACCGGCTTTCAGAAGGAGGCATTTTAAATTCAAAGTCTCTTTTAAGTAAAATAATTAAAAATATTCCCACAGATTCACTTTCAGAAGGCAGACCAGGAAATTCTCCTGAGGCAGAAGAAGAACCTGTCTCTGAAAAACACTTACAGCCTGGTGAGATAGATTTTCCAATTAAAAAAAAGAGTAGTTTCAAAAAGAAACATTCAAAAAGTGAAATATCTAGCTCAAAACCAGATTTGAATAGCCTTGTATATGATTATGTTATAAAGCAAATATTCACTGCACCGATCTTCTCAGAGTTGGCGAGAGGAGTGAAAGAAGCAAGTGAGACACAGATAGACTCGCAGAGTCAGTTACCCGCAGCTTGGGAGAGTTTGCTCGCTTCCAATGTTCCAGTTCCCCACTATGAAGAAAGCAATAATGAAACAGAATTTCCACCAGCCAATTCTGTTATAAGCCAGATAATACAGGCAGTTCCTGTAGATACTTTTTTAGAATCAGGGATAATCAAAGTGATGGAATTAGATAAAGAATACCAGAAAGGTTTTTTGCTGGATACAGAGACAACTTTTGCTGAAGAAAACCCAAAGGATTCCACAGACTATTATTCAGAAATCAGAGGCAAAGCAGAACCTCTTTCAGACCAGAATTCAGCCATCATTCACCAAGAAACCACTTCTTCTTTTAAAAGAGTTGAATTCATAGACAAAGGTCAAAATACATCCCCATGTGAATCAAAATACCAGTCGACACCAGATAAAAAACCAGATTTGCCAAGTAATGGTCAGAGACTTGATAGAGAAGAAAATGATACAAGTTCTACTTTAGAAAACTTAAGTACCTCATTAATGGGTAAACTTAATGACTCTGATGTAATAATGTTAAAATCTTTTTTGAAAAACATATTTAACTTTTTTTTTAAATATAATCAATCTGAAAACAGACCACCAGAAAAAGAATTAGAAAGACTAATTCAACATCCTTTTCCAAATAAGACAGAAGACTTTGAAGAAATCGAAGAGAATTTTGATAAAGCAGACAAATTGGACAGAAAACCTGTTTTGAATCCAAAGCTGCGTATATTTCTAGAAGAACTCTCAGAGTCAGAAATAAAAAATTTAAAATCTGAATTAAGTAAACATGTCCAGCATTACCTTGTAGAAAGGCTTTCGGAATCAGGACATATCACCAAAGAAGACTTACCAAAAATCTATCAAAATCTGTATTTGATGAATGAGAAAGTAGAACCAAAAGGACAAAATATTTTTCTGGAGAAATATTCAGAAACTGTAAAAGAAATCATGTCTTTTGTAAATAATTTTAATCATTATTTCATAGATAAACATTTGGAAATAAAACTAAGATCTTTTTTAAGTGAAATTCTCCAAAACTATTTCCTGAAAAACCTTTCAGACAACAGTTTATTTAACGAGACAGAATCTGACCCTATGTGCTCAGAAGTATCTTCTCTAAGAGCTGAAAGTGCCTCAATATCTTTCCACGAGTTAGGACAAGACACTTCAAGCGGGAGTTTTGGCAGTAGACTTGAAATAAACATGAAATATCCCTTAAATAAATCTCTACAAAGCTATCTTATAGCTTTATCAGAAAATGAAATCTTAGATCTAAAAGCTGATTTAAGCAAACACCTCCAGAGCCTTTTTATAGAAAAACTGTCAAAATCAGGACTAATCACAGAAAGGCAATTAGAGGGGATAAGCCAGCACATAAATTTGGTTAATTTTAGTTCCACACCACTAAAATATATAAAGCCAGATTTGTCTTTAAGAGATGAAAATCAGTTTGTGGAGGAGCATTCAGAAAAGCAAAATAAATATTCAAAAATTGCTCAGAAAAACACTTTACAAAAAGTTCCCAAGGATAGACTTGTAGAAACAGAGTTGACCAAAAAGGAAGAAAAAGAACTTTTTTCCTTAGAAAATATTAAAGAAAATCCACCAATAATTCGGGAACAGAAAAGACATTCTCAAGAAGCTAAAATACTGAGATTAATTAAAGTACAACCCTGTTCCAACAAAAACACTCGGGTGAGTCCACTAAATAAGTCTTCAGAAAGACTTACAGATACAGTGCCTAAGAAAAAAAAGAAAGAACATGGTTTCATGCAGTTTCCTCATAAAGAAAATTTTGAATTTAAAACAGAGACTCAAGACCCACATAATTGGAGTGGTAAATCAAAAATAACTCAATCAAAGGCTTGCTTTGAAAAGACACTAAAAATGAAGTCTCTTGACAAAAAGAATCACAATAACACCTATAAGTTGATGGTACAGGAAAAACCTGAAGCAGTATTGTCACCATATCAAAGAATTCCTAATTGCAAGATGCCAAATGAAGATGAGGAATATGTAAACAAATTCACTTTTCCTTCCAGGCAAAATAATATTCTAACTTGCCTCAATTCAGAGGCTGGAGAGAAATCAAAGTTAAAAGACCAGTATCATCAGATATTTAAAGAAAATAATAACAATAATAAAAAACAACATTTAGAAATATTTGCACATTACAAAGAAGAAATACAAACCCTTTACACCAAACCAAATGAACTTTGCAACGAAAAATGTGCCTGGGTGCCTGAATCACAATTGCTTAAAATTTTGATAGCTGAGAAAAACTCAAAACCATCTCTCTTCCCGGAAGTACCAAAGAGAGAAAATCTAAAGCCCAAGGTCCGAAAAGAAAGAGATCATGTCAGCAAAAAAAAGTCATTTAACAAGATAGTTAGTGTATTACCAACTACACCGCCCAGCACAGGAATCCATCCAAGAAAATCTGTTCCAAGGACATTGCTTCATTGGACTGCAAGAAGAACTACACATGTAATAATATTTTTCTAAATCTTTTATTTCTTTACTTGGCAAAGTTCTTTAGATAACATAGAGTGTATGTGTCTTCATGCAAGTATGTGTGTAACCTTAATTGCCCCAAAATATACAGACCTCCAAATTTCAAAAAATTCTTTTGACATTCAGATATCACCTTGCCTCATTCAAAAGGTAGTCAGAAAATCAAGGGACTGTTAACATACTTAGTGCCTTTGTATAAAATAGATAAAAGGGACCCCCTGCTCCAGATCATAAATTAGAAAAAAGTACTCTTTCCTCCAGGCCAACTCCAGGCTGGCACAGCCTGCGCAGGGTACACAGTTATGTGTACAGAAGACCGGCAGTTTCAGCCCTGACTGACCCCTCAGCCACGGGCTGTTATGCAGCCACGCCTGTGCAACCACGGGCAGTGGCTGTATACTACAGAAAGGCTGGGACTGTCTTTTCATGCATATATACATATAAACATATAGTCTTTTTTCAGATCGCTTAATTTTCTTTGTTTTTAAAACAAATATGAAGCTCCTATTACATGCCAGTTATTCTAAGCCTTAGAGATATGCAGAATTTAGTCTCTTGAATTATGAATTACAGTTTAGCTTAGCTTCTATTCTTTTCTTTTTTCCATCACCACCCCTCTGCCTTGTGCTGAGAAACATGGGAATTCAAATCTATTTTTGATACTAATATAAAGCAATTAGGAAGGTACCTCTGCTACCTGACTTTATACAAACCATTCAAAAGCAGAGTTAAAATCTAGGAATGGAAAGGACTTATTTTAATTTTCTGGAACATTGCTCTTCTCTGTTAGTATATATAAATAGGCATGACCAACAGTTGGGAAAATACAAATTCTAAAATGACATAATATTGATAATTTGATGTGCATAACTATCTCTGAATGAGAAAACAGAAAGCAAATTATTAGCTTTAGTAAATAGTAAGGCAAATCAGTTGCAGGGTAAATATTATCAACATAGCTTATTCTCTCAACTTTGGATTTCTCTTCTAAATTCAGTAATTTAGAGTGTGTGTGTGCGTGTACAGGAAAAAGTAAGTAAAAGGTGTTCATAGTTTTTGGAGAGGGAAGACTTTCTGAAGTTCCTTCAGATAAGTGGAATCTTTAATATCACTTTTCCAAACAAAATAAGAAATTATGTTTATGTTTGTGTTAGGTTGCCCTAATTCTTCTTAGTCCTGCCTCAGTTCTTCTTACTTGGCAGTTGTATTAATCTACTCCCACCTTCTCACCAGATCAGAGCAGGCTTATTCCCTTGGGGTGGCCATTCCCTTGGGGTGCAAGGTTTTAAGTGACAAACTGCTCAAACTGCAAAGGAAACTAGTTTATGCTAATCTGAGACATTACTAATAAGTCCATACCCTCCTATGGGTACTTATAGATTATTATATATTTTTATTTTTTAATACAAATTTATTTTAATCTGAGGCTAATTACTTTACAATATTGTAGTGGTTTTGCCATACACTGACACGAATCCACCACGGGTGTACATGTGTTTCCCATCCTGAACCCCCCTCTCACGTTTCTCCCCATCCCATCCCTCTGGGTCATTCCAGTGCACCAGCCCCGAGCACCCTGTCTCATGCATCAAACCTGGACTATATTTTTAATATAGTCATATTATACCAATTTGGAAAAAAAGGAAAACAAAGCCCATAATCCCACCACCCTAAAACAACCATCATTTTTAAAAAATTATGGCAAATTTCCTTCCAGTTACTTTCTTAAATGTAAAATTTGTTTAGTCTCAGAATGTACACAAAAATTTTTAATATTTTAGACTCAATGTACATCAGTTTGAGCAAACTCTGGGAGATAGTGAAGGACAGGGAAGCCTGGCATGCTGCAGTCATGGGGTTGCAAAGAGCAAGACATGACTTAGCCACTGAACAACAACAAAAATCACAATAAACATAACCATATAGATGCTGAGCTCTGCATGTGTGTGTATGGATATATCAAAGGTGTTAATTTTTAAAGAATGAATGTTGAGATGATTTAAAAAGTGAAATGAGTTCATAATTTATATTTGGGGTTGGGGAAGAGCTAATTTAGAGGAGAATTAAAGGAGGGCTGGCTTTACCTAGGAGTCTGGCCCCTCAAGACAGCTTCTTTAAGATTTCTGGTTTCCAGCTTGATATCTTGCATCTCTTTTGAAACAACAGATTCTTTGAAACAATAAGATTATTTAAAGTATGGTTTCTATGGTATCTGATGGCAGACATTGAATGTAGGGTCTGAATTTAGGGACCATCTATAAAACATTTGAATGCTCTCATTCTTTGTTGATATTATAAACTTTAGTCCTTGTAAATCTAAAGTGTACTCTTAAGAAATCTAACTCACCAACTTGATCTTTTATTTTAATGTTTAGGATTGTTCGGATAGATATGAGGAATTACATGTGACTTCATTTAAGCACCTTGAAAATGCAAAATCAAGAGCAAGGCTTTTAGAAAAGAGCCCAGATGATAGCCATAATCAGTTCAAACGCTTTGCAAGACCATATACTGCTCCAGAGGTTAACAAAAGAGGAGAAAGCTACACTGGAAAATTTACAAGTCCTCGAATGGTTTCAGCAGGCTTAGTTCATATAAATGATTCAATCCCAGAATATGAAATCCATAAAATGCGGCCAAAAAAAAAATTTAAGAGAGAATATTGAAAAATGTTCGCTCATTTGTGATATTATCCAAATGTTAAACAGCTCAGAATATGTGAGGCCAACAGAATAGCACTTCTCCAATTAGCAAATGGTTTGGAGATCAGTCCTTTTTATGTGATAGGAGTCAGTAACCAAATTTCATCTTGTTAGAACCATTTTGTTTTAATTAAAATGAAAAAGAAACACTTTTGATGTAAATGTGTTTTTGTTTATGAACCTTAGGGAACAAACTCAGAAATACATATTCATTAGTAAAGTTTTATTTCCCAACTTTTCCCCTTTCCACTAGTCTCTTATTTCCCAAATCTTTGCTATGCTCTGAATTATCCCTGAACACCCAGTTTCAGGGTCTCTATTTGCAGTTATGTGTGTTTAGCCTTTGGTATGAATATACTTTAAATCTTAAGCTCTAGACTCAACAGTATGCAACTCCCTGGGCCTGCAGAACATCTATCAATTTCAATATCATCTGATACCACGGCTTTTTACACTATAAAGATAATAAAGAACAGGTGTAATAGTACTAAAAACTGAGGCATCTAATACACTGGAGTGACTTTCTAACTTCGACTATGAAACAGCCTCTTTGATAACACAGAACTCAGGAAGAAACTGTATAAAACAGAAACTGCATTAAAGTATCTAGCTAATCAGCATAGGATTTAAACCAAGAGATTGGTTCTATTCTTACCAAACACAATATCTGAATATTGTTAAACTTTGGTTTACTCTTGAAAAGCATTTCAATTTATAGAATTTTTGTCAGTTTCCATTTTCTACTATAAATCATAAAGTCTATGGAGTTCAAATAGAATTGGCTGATGTAAAATATAATTCCCGATCACTCATTTAATAGCATAATCAAAGTAGTAATTTTGGGAGGGAGACCAATAATTTCTCAAAGTTGCCAGAGCATGTATCAATCAGAGTATGACTGGGAAAGCACAAATACCCTTGGATCTTCCAAGTAGAAGGAACACACAGAGTTGGTTTCATGGGTAATGGAAAACAAGGCTAAGAAACTAAAAGGGATGATGTGGCAATCCAGAGATTGGCAAGAGGAAAAAATACCAGCCTTCAGGACATCAGGAAGCAGTGGTGTGACCCGTGTCCTAAAGCCAGAAGTCAAAGACCAGACCAGAGAGAGACAGCACAAGAAACAGGGGAGTGGGGCAAGGGGTGAGAACTGTTCTCTCTCCCGCCCTCTGAAAGTGTTCGTCGCTCAGTCATGTCCAACTCTTTGCGACCCCATGGGCTGCAGCCTCTGTCCATGGAATTCTCCAGGCAAGAATACTGGAGTGGGTTGCCATTCCCTTCTTCAGGGAATCTTCCCAGCCCAGGGATTGAACCTGGATCTCCTGCATTGCAGGCAGATTCTTTACCGTCTGAGTCATCAGGGAAGTCCTGGAAACTGGGAGAGTGAGGCAGCATGGGATGTTTACTTTCCAGTGAGGCAGAGCAGCGGAAGCATGGAGAAATGTATTTGACAGCTAAGAGGCAACTAAACAACACTTATGGAGAAAACCACTGATCTAGCTTGCAGTAAGGCCTTCCCTGGTAGCTCAGCTGGTAAAGAGTCTGCCTGAAGTACAGGAGACCCCGGTTTGACTCTTGGGTTGGGAAGATCCCCTGAAGAAGGGATAGGTGAGCCATTCCAATATTCTTGGGCTTCCCTGATAGCTCAGACGGTAAAGAATCCACCTGCAATACAGGAGACCTGGGTTGGGAAGATCCCCTGGAAAAGGGAACGGCTACACACTCCAGTATTCCTGACTGCAGAATTACATGGAGAGAGGATCCTGGCAGGTGACAGTCCATATGGTCGCAGAGTCAGACAGGACTGAGTGACTTTCACTACTACTAGCTTGCAGTAAAGGAGGAAATAACTTACTAGATGGAAATCTCAAGTCACTCTGCCTCATTAAACTTTTAATGGCAATACTGTGACACAGTCAAAAATTACCATGGAAATAAATTTTTTTCAAGCTTTTTTAAGAAACAGCAAAAGCAGAAGACCCATGCCCTTTATTCAAAGAATCCCTTAAATATTTGTTAAATGTCTAATGACAAACATTTTGCTAAACACTATATACTCGTGAATAAGACAATGTTCTCAAGACATCCTCAGTATACTGGGGACATAAACACAGGATTAGTCACAAGTGTTGTTGCAGAAAGTACTGTAGAAACTCATGGGGGGACATTTTGTCCAAAGTGGCTGGGCTAGTTTGGATCCTTCAGAAAGCAGATACCAAGATGAGATCAGTCATGTATGGTAAGCAGAATAACTTCCCCCCCCACCCCCCGTCAACAACATATCTACAACCTAATCCCAGGAACCTGTGGCCATGTTACCTTACATGGCAAGAGGCACTCTGCAGCTGTGGTTAATGATCTGGAGATAGAGAGGCTATCCTGGATAATCTGAACTGGCCCAACATAATCAAAAGGGTTTTATAAGACAGAAGCAGAAGGGCCAGTCAGAGAGAGACAGAGGTGCAAACTCTGAAACAGAAGCTGAAGTAATGCCTGTGAAGCAAAGGAAGGCTGGTAGTTTCTAGAAGCTGGGAAAGACAGCAAATTCTTGAGAGTTCACAGAAGGAATGTAGCCCTGCCAAATCATTTTACAATTCTGACCTCCAGAACTGTGAGGTAATAAACTTGTGGTAAGTCACTAAATTTGTGTTGTTACAACAGTGATAAAAAAAAAAAAAAAAAAAAAACTGATACAGCATTCCAGGATCCTCAGGAACAAAATTTAAGGCATTCACTCTCAGGATGAGGCTGTTAATTACCATATCTACTTCTGTTGTTGTTGTTCAGTCATGTCCGAGTCTTTGCGACCCCATGGACTGCAGCATGCAAGGTTTCCCTGTCCTTCACTATCTCCCAGAGTTTGCTCAGACTCACGTCCATTGAATCAGTGATGCCATCCAACTATCTCATCTGTCGCCTCCTCCTTCTCAGGCCCTTAATCTTGCCCAGCATCAGGGTCTCTTCTAATGAGTCAGCTCTTCACATCAGGTGAGCAAAGTATTGGAGCTTCAGCATCAGCCCTTCCAATGAATATTCAGGGTTGATTTCCTTTAGGATTGACTGGTTTAATCTCCTTGCTGTCCAAGGAACTCTCCAGAGTATTCCCCAGCACCATAGTTCGAAAGCATCAATTCTTTGGTGCTCAGCCTTCTTTATGGTCCAACTATCACATCTGTACATGACTACTAGAAAAACCATAGCTTTAACTGGTTATGGGATGTTTAATATTTTTGTTTTTTAAAAAAATTAACCATTTTTGTTTTTAAAAATTCTTTTCTTTTTAATAGGTGTACATGTGTTCCCCATCCTGAACCCCACCTCCCACCTCCCTCTCCATCCCATCCCTCAGAGTCATCCCAGTGGACAAGCCCTGAGCGCCCTGTCCCATGCATCGAACCTGGACTGGCGATCTGTTTCACATATGATAATATACATGTTTCAATGCTGTTCTCTGAAATCATTAACTAAAAAAGTTAATCATTTTTTAAAAATTTATTTTAAATGGGATAATGGCTTTACAATATTGTGTTAAGTTTCTGCTGCACAACCACGTGAATCAGCTGTAAGTATCCGCATGTCCCCTCCCACCCCAGGCCCCACCCCACCACTCCAGGTCAGCACAGAGCACGGGGCTGAGCGCCCTGTTACGCAGCAACTCCCCACTAGCTATCCACCTTACACACGGCAGCATGTGAATGTCAGTGACATTCTCTCAATTCGCCCTACCCTCTCCTTCCTACCGTGTGTCCACAAGTCCACTTTCTATGCCTGCATCTCTTTTCCTGCCTTGCAAACAGGTTCATCAGCACCATTTTTCTAGATTCCATATATATATATATATATGCATTAATATACAATATTTTTCTTTTTCTGACTTACTTTACTCTGTATGACAGATTCTAGGTTCATACACATCACTACAGCTGACCCAGCCTCATTCAATTTCATTCCTTTTTTGTTCCTTTTAAGCTCTGTGATGACCTGGAGGAGTAGCATGGGGAGCTGGGGTGGGAGGAAGGAGATTATACACACACACACATATAGCTGATTCACACTATCATGCAGCAGAAACTAACACAACACTGTAAAGCAATTATCCTCCAATTAAAAAAATACCTTATAAATAAATACACTACGGTTACCAAGGGGTTAAGCAGGTGGAGGGATAAATCAGGAGTTTGGGATTAACAGATACACACTATGTAAGTAAACAATAAGGACCTACTGTATAGCACAGGGAACTATATTCAATATCTTTTAGTCTATATTAGAAAACAATCTGAAAAAGAACATGAGAGAGAGAGATCACTTTGCTATACACCTGAAACTAACACATTGTAAGTCAACTATATTTAATAGTTGAAATAGTTAAAATAGTTAAATAAATAAAATAGTTAAAAAAAAAATCCACTGGCTTTGTTTCTCTGGAGAACCCTAACACAGTGGAACTGAGGCACTGTCCCTTGGCCTCCGGTCACCTTTTGCAGTACACATACTGACTCTCCACACAGATTGGGGAGAATTTCCTCCATGGTTCCTGTGTCCCTTGCGGAGGGGAATTTAGGAGGTTAGTGAAATGAACTGTAGCGCCCCTGCCCCCCCCCCGACGGCCCCATCTCAAGGCTTCAGTTGGTACTTGTCTCCTCTCTCCTCCACACTGGCAAGTCTTGGAGGCTTCCTGATGGAGTAACCCAAACATCCTTGAGGGAGGCTGGCCAATAAACATGAAAAGGTTTGTGTTTTTAACTATTTAATTTGTATATTATTTGTCTCAGTGTCAAGTCTTAAAGCAATCATTTAAACATAATTTTTAATGTAATGTCAAGTGTATGCAAATAAAATCTGCTAACTGAGGTAAACCCAATTTATCACAGTCCAAAATACATACTCCCTTTAAGACAGCATATCCCCTTTGCTAATAAGGTAAAACCTCAAGTTCTCTATGTCCTTATATGTTGTACCCCCTACAGGAGCAAGAATAATCATATAAAGGGCTGGAAGATCTGCTTCCACTGAATCAAATACCAAGTTGTCCCCAATTCAACAGGTTATGTAAGTGTATCTATTTCTCTGAGAAAAAGCTTTCCTTGGCAAAACAAATTAGAATCTTATATTTTAGCTCTGTCAAACCACACAAAATTATTAAGTATAAACTCAATTCAATAAATCTTTATTGAGCTCCCACTGGGTGCATGAATTTAGGATCTATAATTTACATAAGTACAAAAGTGTTACTTCAGCCCCTTAAAAAAAGCAAATTACAACTTCTGTGTATATTTCAAGTGAATCATTTAATGTGAGTGAGGCTCAGTTTGATATTACCAGAAATATTAACAGAAGAAAGTGGGAAAGTATAAGCATTTTCCCTTCTATCAGAAAAGGGTTTGATGCCAGGATAAAACCCTATTGTTTTAACAATGGCTGATCAAAAAGGCTAGGATTTGGAAGTAAAAAATGTACTTGGAAACACTGTCCTCTGCGGGCTCATTCCCCTGAGGGCAGCAAAATGCTGAAAAATTTAACTGGCTCAAAAATCACACTGAGAGATCAAAAAGAAGAGTTAGTCACAGCTTGGGGAAGAATATTTTTTTCATGTCATCTGTCATACACAGATGACACTAAGTGTAGTTAGAGTAATAATTCCAAAGTTTCCCTGGAGTTGTCAGAGCACTCTGAGCTAACCGAAGGGGCTATAAACTCCTGCTCCTTTGAACAGAGTGGTTTCAAATGATAGATTCTCCAGTGCACCAACTGTATTTTCAAGTATAATTCTAGTACTTGTACCTAGCAATACAGAAGAAAAAGCAGCAGGGAGAAAGTGTCAAGTATATAGGACATAAAAGGATCTGGCAGCCCTAGAATTCCCAGTTTGAGTCTTTTTCATCAGGAAAATCACATTCTGGCTCAGTCCAAGGTGATGCTGGAGACAGTGATATTGATGGCTTGTGACAAGGAGGAGGCAACAGTGAAAGTATGGAACTCTGGTTTTCTTCTTTCATCTGTTAAATAAACTCAAAATAAGGTTGAAGGCACATAAATTCAATACATTAATTTTTTTTAAATAATAAATAACTTTTAAAGAAGTCATGTTAGAAGTGTTTAAATTGTTTTAGGTATTTTCACTTAAACATGTCTTTGATTCTTATCATCTGAAAACAAGTAGCACTAACCAAATAAACTGATTTTTTATCAGAGAATTATTTTGCCCTTACATCATTTCTAACCAGAATAGAAAAATACCTCTAAATTAATCAAAATATAAACTTAGAATAAAGTCACACGTGATGATATTCCATTTGTTTTATTTTAGAAGGTCTACAAAAATGTTTTGTTTTTAATTTTACCTTGTAAGAAAGTTATTATTAAGAATCTCAGTAACCAAACTGTACCACTAAGCTAACAAAATGATGTGACTTTAACAGTATTAAGAAACATCTAGACAACAAAGATAAATCAGCTCACCTGTTTGAAGAAAACATGGGACAGTAAGCTGCTTGCTGATGGCCTAAAATTTTTTTGAAAAAATTATAAAAAAAGAACCTATTAGAATGTAGATATTTTGCTTTAAACTATTAGAACATAAGTTTAAAGCTATAAAGCTCAATACACAAAAATTGAAAGGAAAAAGATTATATGTAAAGAGGCCCAATTCTTAGCTTCAACCGTGACTAATTAATTCTAGATAGTCTTCAGCTACTCCATGATTTCCCTCATAGCTCAGTTGGTAAAGAATCTGCCTGCAATGCAGGAGACTCTGGTTCGATTCCTGGGTTGGGAAGATCCAATGGAGAAGGGATAGGCTGCTCACTCCATAGGCTCCCCACTCCAGTATTTCTGGGCCTCCCTTGTGGCTCAGCTGGTAAAGAATCTGCCTGCAATGTGGGAGACCTGGGTTCAATCCCTGGGTTGGGAAGATCCCCTGGAGAAGGGAAAGGCTACCCTCTCCAGTATTCTGGTCTGGAGAATTCCATAGACTGTATAGTCCATGGTGTCAAAGAGTTGGACACGACTGAGTGGCCTTCACTAAAATCCCATAGACAGAGGAGCCTGGTAGGCTATAGTCCATGGGGTCGCAAAGAGTCGGACATGACTGAGCGACTTCACTTTCACTAACATTTATTAGGCACTAACTAATTATAACAAGCTATCCTAGGCATTAAGAAGCTTTAAAAAAAAAGGATTAAAAAGACACATACCTTATTTCTAAAATATTAATGCTAACAGTTATCTATGATAATAATTACTTTAATACCAGCAACTAACATTCTTGTACTGCTTGGAAGTTTCTAACATGGCTTAACATAAGCATAGTAACTTATGTCCAGAAACACTAACTAATTTTTGTAAGGGGATTCAGTTAGGAAATGATACAGCGGAGACTGAAGCCCAAGTATTCTAACTTCAAACCTAGTATTCTTCCCATTTCTTCACTGTCTCTACTTGCTTTAGGCACTGGTATTTTCTGGGTTAGTCTATAGTTTTTTGATGAAAAGACTGAAAGAAGATTTGAATTTGGCGTGAAGCAAATATCACAAAAGCTTTTACAAAACACGGATGTTTTATGCTATTGAGATCTGACCAGTGTTACCTTTTCTCAGGATCTTGTTGCAAACAGAGCTGTACCAAGCTGAGGAAGGCGGGAGAGAACGTTTTTGAGGAGGGTGTCTGCAATCTGTCACTATTTACTGTGCGAGTCCCACTGGAGACATGTACACTTTCTCCAATCCCAGAGTCTACACCTGATCGGGAATTTTTCATTCTGGATTCTGACTGAGGAAAAATACTGGCATCCAATGGACTGTAGGGAGGACCTTTCAGTTTCTGTAATAACATCTAAAAGAAGAAAATTTTCCTTCAACCTTTTTCAGGCAAAATATTAAAACAGTAACAATGACAATAAGGATCCTAAGAGTTTAAAAGATGTTTAGAAGAAATTATCTAGAATGTAAGGGATCTCATGAAGGGAAAGTAGTTCAGGAATTTTGGCAGCACTTACCTGTGTCCTGTGCATGTCTTGGAAAGGAACCTGCCCACTGGCCAATTCACAGGCTGTAATCCCAACGCTGTAAATATCTGACTTTACATTATATCCATGTAAATCCTATAGAACAATTAATTTGAAGTCCTTTAGTGTAAATACCCTTTAAAAAGTTACATACATACGCTTTTTTTTGATAAAGGATGGTGAATAATAATGGAAAAAACTCGTGAGAAATCAAGATACACCTAATATTTGGTATACATTTAAAAATTCCTAACAGAATAATTTTGACAAGAAAGAATAAAAAAAGTCTTGCAGTAGGCCTTTCATCAGTCTGAATATAAGGGCACAATTGTCCTTTTGTCAAACTCAGAAGACACTCAAGACGCATAGACAACCCAATGCAATGGCCACACCTGACCTGTCTCAGTAGTTCTGGACTCAGCCACGGCTGCACTGATGTGCTGAACTGTGGGAAATCATACACAGCCCTATGCCTCTGTCCGTGCTTAACCAAACTATGCAGGTGGGACAGGCCAGAGAGGGTCACTAGGCCATCACCAGAAATGAGGATATGGCTGGCTTTAATACTCCTAGAACAAAAAGAAACAATCCTAAATACTAAGAAATTGGCCAAGAAAGAAAGAATAGAAATATGGTCAGAATAAATTCATGTATTCCCTTGGAAATTAAATACTCTTTATAAAATAATGTTTAAAGCATGAAGTTATAATTTAAAGTTAAATGCAATATTATCCAATAAAAGATAGCCTCTGATGGTATTAACAAAATTTATAAAGACACGTCTAATATAAAAATTTCCTTTGTCAAATAAATTATAGAAGAGCCTTGTTTTTCATTTGAAACATGGAAAATTGGAAACTAATAGAGCAGGATGGCCAACAGTCTGGTAAAGTATAATAAAAGCTTGATTAATTAGAATACTGTCTTGTTAGAAATCCTCAGTTAACCAGAATGCTGCTAAGAAATAATAAACAGTAAGGAAAAAAGCTTTAAGGCGGTAAAATAATAAGAAAACAGGCTTATTTAAAAGTAACTTAATTAAAAAGGAAAAAAAATTCCCAAGTATCTCAGAACAGCACTGTTTTCAACATTCAACCAATTACTTCTGTTCCTACAGTTTGGCAACTAGAGAACTGATATTTAGTATGGTAATCTCAATGTGCTACATACAAAAACACTTAAGAAATCAAAGGTTTAGTTACAACTTGTATACGATATAAACACAACATAAAGCTGAAAAGCAGGCAAAGAAGCTTGCTATTTGCTTAAGAAAAAAAAACAACACAAGAGCTAACTAGGATCCCACTCCCCACAGCTGAAACAGGCAGGTTCTAGTATCCTTCATCACTGAGACCTGATCTCAACGAAGGCAGGCATTCCACCCCAGTGCTGAGCAAAGCATTTGGCACAGAGGAGGTGGGCTGAACGGTTCTGGTGAATGAACTATAAAATGTAAGCATCTACTATAACTACTGGTCCCTTCCTCCCCCAATATTCATTTGCAAATTTCCTATCCTCCATTTTAACACTCAACTGTTTCTTCCTAAAATCTCCCTAAAATATTTCTTCCTCTCAAATTCTTTCATTTTGTAAAAGACAAATAAGTAAATACCTGTGAATACAGCCATTTTGATGCAGATAGTTCAACCCTCTCACTGCTCCAAAGAGAATGTTCCTTATTAAAGTTTCACTCATTCCTTCAGGAAAGTAAGTCCTCAAGAGTTGACTTGCTGAACCTGAAAGAAACCCCTGAAATCCTCAGATGGACACTAAAATGACTTTGTTTCTATGTTTTAAATGTTCTTATCAACCATCAACACATACACACAAGCTACATTTTAGAGTCTAACCATTTTCCTATGCAAAGGTAATTTTCCTTCAAGAATCTTTAAAAAGACTTTTCTAATGACATGCTAGAGATTAGGACAGTGAATTAATAATACTCAATATTACTGAAAAAATACATACTGTGTGAGAATATATGTATTTTTAAACCCACAGGCAATCCACAAAAGTATTCTAAAAAATCAAACCTCTAAAATCCATTTATTTATTAAACACACCTACTGAACACTACTTTATGCTAGGCATTTTATGAGTACCTGGGGACACCAAAATGAAAAATACACGCATGATCCTGCCCTTGAGAAGCTCAAATCCAGAGAAGGGAGACAGAAACACAGATGTTTACAATGCAGTTAAATAAGTTTACAGATGCAGAGAAACAAAGACAGGGATGGTGTACACAAGTAGGAAAACTACTTCTGCTTGAAGAATAATAGCAGCTCTCCATTGACAGAGAGGAAGGAAACTGAAGGGGAAAAAGACAGCTTGTAAAAAGGCATGGATTTCTTGGAGAAATCAGTGGTGGTTTCACTGATCATAAGAGCCATTATACCTTTTTTTCTGAAGACAAATTCAACATGAACCAGATATAGAAATATATCATAAAATCTAGAATTGGCCAGGTTTATAAATTAAAAGTAGTAAATCATAAATCTAAGATCACACTCATCCTTATAATTACATCATCCAGGCTAAACCAAGAGTTATTTTACCTAAAATGAGTTTTCTTACCATAGGCCATAAAAGGAGAAATAACCCAAAGCCAGCTGCCAACAGTGAAAACAGTCCAGTAAGTTGTAATATTGGGATGCCGGAAAAAGTGGGATAGAATCACTGCTTTCTAGTATAGACACACAAGAGACAAGACATTTAAACAATGGTTTTTCTTCATGATGAAGATAACAGCAGTAGCGGCAGCTATTAGTACTAGTAATGGAGTTTATTAGTACTAAGCGCTGTTCTTACAGTCATGCCTTTCAATCTCACAACCACTACATGGAGTATGTGGCACTATAATTCCCATTTTATAGAAAAGGCTATTTAAAAACAAGATAGAAAATTTGTTCAAGAGCACCTAATTAATGAAAGTAGGACAGTCTGACTCCAGAGATCATATTCAATAACTGTCCTGTGTTCTCATGACAGAAACATTTAAAAAATACATTAAAACATGAAGATAAAGTCCCTTCTAACACTAAATGATAGAACCATTGTTAATATTTCAGTATAATTTCTTCCAATCTTTTTCTGTTCAATATCCATGTGCACAAATACAATAAATACGCTAAAAACTGAGATAATGTCAAAATGAAATCCTTTCTCTCTTTATATCAAAAATGATTAGTGACAATGGAAATAGTATTGTAATATTCCTGAAATGCAATCTGTTAAAATTTATCAATTCAGAAGCTAATTTAACTTAGCTGTATGAAAAAGAAACTGTTTGCTTTTGTTTTTTTCTATTTTCCTATTATTTGTAACCAGACTGATGAGGGGTATTTAAATAAATTTCAGACCAGTTTTTCAAATATGACATTCATTTGAAGGAACTTACAGTAGATACCAAAGTCTGAATTTATTTGTTCTTTCATGGATCTGGCTTCCTTTCTTTCCAATTCTGTAATTTTATGTTTATTAAAAGAAAGAAATCTACCTTTTTCTAGCAGAACTACTAATTTGTGAAAAAGAAAAGTTTTTACAAATATATCTCTTCAAATAGACATTAAAATAGAGGTATCTTTTTTTTTTTTTTCATATTGTTACCTGTAAAGCTTTTAGGCGTTCTTCAGTGCAGTTTTCCAGATTTGTGATTTTTATAGTGACCAGTGTTCCTGTAGGAGTATGCCGTGCGAGATGGACAGAAGTCAAGTTGTCAAATCCCCTTCCTAAAATCAGACATAAAACTCATGTTAAAAATCAAAGAGAGAAACTGATACCTGGACTTTATCAAAATTAACTTTTGCTCTTCAAGAAAACACTGATAAGAAAATGAGAAGGCAAGCCACTGAATCAAAGTATGAACAATATTTGTGTCTGGTAGGACTCACATCCAGGGTACCACATAAAGAACTCCTGCGGCTCTATAATGAATGACAAACATCCCAATTAAAAATTCGGCAGAAGATTAAACAAGCAAGCCAAAAAAGTAGAAAAGAAATGGCCAATAAGCACATGAAAAGATGCTCAAGACAGAGAAGCACAAATTAAACACAATATACCATTACATACCTATTGTAATGGCTAATACTGTGACTTGATAAACAAGTTGTGACATACTCCAACAATGGAATGTTACTCAGCAATCCCCGAGTCTCAGTCCCCGGCAACCACTGATATAATTTGTTTGTTATGTAAATAGTATCATAAGGAGTACAGTTTTTTAGGGTCTGGCTTCTTTCACTGAGCATAATGCTTTTAAGATTCATCCATGTTTCAGTAGTTAATTTCTTTCTACCGCAGAGTAATAGCAGGACTTCCCTGTAGCTCAAACAGTAAAGAATCTGCCTGTAATGCAGGAGACCAGGGTTCAGTCCCTGGGTTGGGAAGTTCCTCTGGAGAAGGGAATGGCAATATACTCCAGTGTTCAGATGGCAAAGACTCTGCCTGCAGTGCGGGAGACCCAGATTCGATCCCTGGGTCTGGAAGATCCCCTGGAGAAGGAAATGGCAACCCACTCCAGTATTCTTGCCTGGAAAATCCCAGGGACAGAGGAGCCTGGCAGAGTAATAATCCATCATATGTCCATACCACAATTTATTTATCTGTTCATAAGTTGATAAGGTACTTGGGTTGTTTTCAGTCTTTGGTGACTATGGAAATAAAATTGCCAAAAACATTCTTTAAGTAGACATATGTTTTCGTTTCTCTTTGGCAAATACCTTCAAGCAGGATTGCTGGATCATGTATGTTTAGCCTTATAAGAAGTTGTGAAAGTGTTTTTGAAAGTGGCTGAACCACTTTGCATTCCCACAAGCGATGTGGACGAACTGCAGTTGCTTGACATACTTATCAGCATTTGTTGCTGTTAGTTTTTAAACTAAAAACATCTAGAATGGTAATCTATTAACAGACATCTAGTAAATGTTAGTTTCCTCCCTCTCTTCAGTCACCAAATTCTGCCACTTTTATTGTTGGAGTGAAGTTAATCTGAGGTTCATCCCTTTCTCCCCAGTATCAGCACCACTTGCCCGAGTCCTGTCCTTTTTCTCCAGATAGACTGACTTCCTCACTTGCCCTACATTCTCAACCAGCACATGCACCAAAACCACTGATGGAGCTACTTCAAAAGCAAGGGCTTTTGAAATTCTGAAATTCTGATTCAGTAGGTCTGATGGGATTCATACACTGCAATTTTTAAAAAGACTCAGGTGATGAGGATACTTCCGGTTTTAAACCACTGATCTTCTCTGTCTTTCAGGTTATTGTCTGGAACTGCTGCCAATTGTCCTAAATTTAACATTTTATCAAAAGAAAGGTTCTACAGTGCAGCAGCTGAGAGCTTAGACCTTATGAAGACAAAAGTCTGCTTTCAAATTACTTAAATTCTCAGAGTCTCAGTATCTTCATCTATAAAATGGGAGGAATAAATGAGTGAGATGAAAAAAATTCATACAAAATGTTCAGCCTAATGCCGATTGGATGCTATTACTATCATCATCACTATTCCACAATGTCTCTCTAGCACAGAGTGTGAATCTCTATACACCCCATATAAGGTCTTCCACAGTATGTTCCAAACCTCCTTTTTCAGATGTATCCATTTATTTTTCAGATTTCTCTCCTCCTACTGCCTACGTTCTCTTTGTTCCTGAATCTAGGCACAGAGCAACTACGTTGATAGTACTTCCTCAGTCACCTACGGGAGTATTTTTTTTTAATCTTTTTTTACTGACATCATCTGAAAGTTCTTTCTAATTTGGGGAGCATTTTCTACCAGTGCTATTTTATTGTAGAAAAAGTCAAATCCTTATTCTTTATCACCTTGACCCTGGCAGGTGAGGGTCAATGATCTAAGCTTAGTCAACTGGAGGATGAAGTGAGTGACAAAGGAAGCAGCGGCGATCAGAATTCACTTAAAACTGATCTAAAATCCCATTTTTAGTAGAAATGTTTTTCAGTTAAGTGTGGAACTCCGCAGTGGGGTCCAGGGTCTGGTGGTAAAAGCATCTGCTCACGTCCATTAGCGAGACTGCTCTTACGCTGTGACCCTGCTTGTGGTTCTGTCATGGAGCTTCTCTTGGCTTCTTCCAAGCATATTTTTTCTAGCCAATGATTCTGTGAGTTAGCAAAATTGCTCAAAAAATTCCTTCTTTGATTAAGTAGTCAAGACTCCTTTCTGTTGTTTGAACAAAAACCCTGCCAGAATATTTAGTAAACTTTTCCTCATGCTTCAGGATCCAGCCCCTTTTTTGCCATCTTCCTTGACTCTTAGAAGAGTCAAGATGAACAGCGTGATGCTCCATCTTCTCTGTTCCCATAACACTTAGCACAGCTCTACTATAGTACTGTCCAGTGCATAAGACAAAGCTGTCTTTCATGTTTATCTTCCCAGAGAGGATGTGAACTCCTCAAGTGTTTTACATGGCTTTATATCCCTGGCACCTAACACAGCACCTCTTTGCAGTGCTTATCAGATGTTTCTGAATAGTCAAAGCAAATTTTCACATGTATAAGACTATAAACAATAAATCAGCCTGTTCCAAACCTAACTGAAAAAAGTTTCTACTACAAATGGAATTTTAGGTAAGGTTTTAAGTTAAAAGAAAGTAATCTGGTTAAAGGACTGGACTGTGACTGAAAAGATTTATATGATTTAACTCAGACAAATGATTAGAAGTTTCCTACAATAAAGATACAAATAACAAATACTTATTCAGTGTCCTCCTCCTCTACAAGTACTTCAGTGAAAAAGTAAAAATTCTAGAAGGTAATTTTGAAAAAAATCTGACTACTGTTTTAGGACAAATAAAACTAATAGATCCATCTGACTAACACAATTAACATTTAGTTTTATGCTGTGGGTAACAACAGAAAAAGACTGCTTGCAAAATAATCATTTGTCATCAATTTCATTTCTAACAATGATGAGTCAAATAACTGCACTGTAGAATTATTACCTATTTCCACTTGGAGTTCATAGTGAGAAACATCGGTGGAACAGATCACTTGACTGGCGCTAGTGGATGAAGGCAGCAAGGAAAGCGGGGGCTCATCAACCTGCATTGTTTTGAAAACACGGAAACAAAATAGGTATAAACTTTTTTGGTGCCCCAACTGAGTCTCTTACTCCAATATAAAATACTGATATTGTCTTCAAACACACAACTGCTCATTAGGAAGGTACTGAAAGGTGGCTTAAGAGACTATTTTAAGATCCAAAAAGGATTCACAATAGCTAACAAGTTATGCCTATCAGCCTGTGAAGCAGGATAGGGCTAGAGAAGCAGATTTACAGGTAGTGAAGAACACTCTTCAGCTCAATTTTCAGGAAGCATTGTCAGGAGCTGCTAATATTGGCTGTTGAGTCCTTGGGGTATCTAACAAATATATCAAGGGAAGAGATGCAAAGACCTATGAAAAATATTCTATTCTGCTGTTATTGCTTCAAGTGGTTGCCAGTTACAATCATTACACATATAGCTATTCTGCTCAACTAGTGGAGATATTAACAGTCAAGGAACAATTTTCACACTGTGGCTTATTAAAAGAAGCTGAAGAAGTTTTTCACAAGATGAGGTGAATCAGAAGAGAGGTCAGAAAGAAAAATAAACCTCAAGAGACGGGAGAAAAGAATAGGGTATAGAAGTCCTGAGTTAATGACCAAGCACCACTGTGGTCTTTCACAGGGTACTATGCAGTCAAGAGTCCCAAGTCTGCACCAGGTGCCAGGGAGAGTAAAATAACATGCATGCAGGAGAAAGAAGCTGGTGCCATATGACAGCCAAGAGGATTTCCAGAAGACACCTAGTAGCCTTTACAGGCACCAGCAGGTGGCAGGAGTCTTGTTGCACCTCCAAGGTAAAGAGAATGAAGAAGGCACTTAGAAATGACATTACTATGTTCTAGGAATTCTGCTAGCCACTTTTTATATTTGATTCTACATGTCCCCTAAACTTTTAAGAGAGCAGAATATAATTATAAGATCCTGGCAAAAGGTAAATAAAGGTGAATAGTCTTCAATAGGGATAAAAGGCTGTAAAAAAGAAATTGTACCATATGACTAGAAATAATCCCAACGAAGAAAGAAATCTAAAAAAACCAATTCAATTTCTTTAGAATAGTAGTCTTATTAAACTCAGATTTAAAGAACACTATAAGAGAGAGAATGAAGAGCATATAGCAATTTTTTAAAAATTCAAAGTGATAAGCTGTAAGTCTGTCAGGAAGGCTAGAGCACAGAATGAACTGAGACAGTTTACTGCTAGAAAAAATATGGCATCAGATTATTAGATGATGGGTTGAAATCAGGCTAATAAACCTCTACTTTGCATCCATCAACTCCATTAGGGAAACAGTCTTCTTTAAACTAGAAGATGCACTTAATTTATAATTAAGTAGCTGAAGACCAAAACAGGTTATTTTAAATAGGTTCAAACCTCCAGATCAAAGACAATTACATCTAGGATATTAAGTCTGCAAATACAGTAGAACTCAGGTGAGAAACCAGAATAGAAACAGTCAAACATTAACTCAATTTTGAGAAAAGGGAAAAATTATAAAAGGGAAAGCTTGATACTGTTGCCCAGTAAGGTCTGGTATCAAATGACTACATAGACAGTTATGGACACTTAAGAAAACAATATTAGCAGTCACAAGAAGACAAAATTGGTTTACTAGGAGTAAATCATTTTTAACTGCAGCTCTCTTTTTGATTTGATAATTAGTTAGAGAACTAAAAGCAAAAATCATAGCAGTGTCCTTGTCCTTCTCAAACTTTTTAAATAACTTTCTAAAAATTCAAAAGACTTGGTTAATGAATGGTCTAGAAAAAAGTGATGAAAACAATACCATTTATAATAGCATCAAAAAGAATAAAGTACTTAGAAAGTAACTTAACCAAGGCAGTGAAAGGCCTGTACAATGGAAACTACAAAATGTTGCGAAAAGAAATTAAAGAAGACATTACTGAATGGAAACACAGCTGTGTTTAAAGACTGTAAGATTTAATATTATTAAAATGCAAAGCACCTCAAATAGCAAAAACACATTGAAAAAAAATTGGAAGACTCACTCTTTCTGATTTCAAAATCTACTACAAAGCTACAGTACTTAAAATAATGCGGT